GTGTAACTGAATAGCCGTGTAACCGCATGAGATGTCAGCGGGGAGGGGAGCAGGCAGCACCGCGGAGCTGGTTCTGGGGTGAAACAGCTTTTAAGCCAGCTACCCCACGCACCAACTCCTGCCTGTCATCCCCCCACCCTGCTACTGTCTCTGTAGGAGACAGCAAAGGGAAGGGCAGGCAGGTTCCCAGAGCCAGCAAGTGTGGGAAGACTGCTTGAAAGCCAGCTCCCCATGCATATCGGCTCCTGCCTGCCCGCCTCACCCTCTGCGCTGCTGCCTCTCTATTGGATGGGGAGGCATTTAGGCAGACTCGGTGCTCATGGTGAGCCAACTTTTAAGCCAGCTCCTCACCATGGAGGCAGCGGGGGAGCAGGCAGGGGGAAGTGCATCTGGCCAGCAAGATTAACCGATAAACCCAGGCTTATCAGTTAATCATTTAGTTGTCTACATGTTGACATTCCTACAGTTTAGTCATGTGATTAACTCAAAACAAAGTAACTCAATTAAAGAAATTATTTGTGATTAATTACAGTTTAACACACTGTAAAACAATAGAATGTTAATTAAAACGTATTACAAATAGTTTGGATGTTTTTCTACATTTTCAAATATATTGACTTCAATTACAATACAGAATATGCTGCTCACTTTGTATTATTTTGTATTACAAATATTTGCACTGTAAAAAAGTATTTTTCAATTCACCTCATACAAAGTATTGTAGAGCAGTCACTTTATCGTAAAAAACAAGTTAATTTTTTTCATTATATAACTGCATTAGGGATGTAAGTGACTAAACATATCCTTATTTATCAGGTAGTCGTGTAGTGACTCATATAGTCACTTCCCCTCTTTTGCTGCCTCTATCAGAGAGAGGCAGAAAGGGGCTGAGGGAGCAGAAGCCAGTGCAGGGGAAGACAACTTCAAAGCCAGTTCCCCCCAGCACCATCTCCGGAGTGGGGACAGTAGAGGCAGAGGCATAGCAAGGGACCAGGCGCGAACTGGGAGTCAGCTGATTCCCGGCTCGCTGTCGGTCCCCCCACCCACTGCGCTTCTGCTTTTTAAATGTATTAAGAGCCCGGCAGCTCTCAATACATTTAAAAAGCAGACACGCAGCAGGGAAGACCAGGAGCGAGCCGAGACAGGTAACCCTGCTGTGGCTCTGCAGTTTCCCCCCCTTATCGACTAACTGAGCAGTCGATGGAAATTCCATCAACTACTTGATTAGCTGATTACCCTCAATTTAACATCCCTCAAGTGCACTCAAAATGTAAAAATTTAGCACCTACAAGTCCACTCAGTCCTACTTCTTGTTCCCTCAATCAAGAAGACAAACAAGTCTGGTTACATTTACAGGAGATAATGCTGCCCACTTCTTATTTACAAGACCACCCAAGAGTGAGAAAAGGCATTCACATGGCATTTTTGTAGTTGGTGTTGCAAAGTATTTACGTGCAAGATATTGTAAACATTTGTATGCTCTTTCATGTTTCAACCACCATTTCAGAAAACATGCTTCCATGCTGTTGATTCTTGTTAAAAAATTAGGTATGAATTTGTGACTGAATACCTCTGGGAAGTAGTGTGCATCTCCTGCTCCATGATTTACCCTCATTTTGCCTTATATTTCATGTTATGGTGGTCTCAGATGATGACTCAGCATACGTTGTTCAATTTTAAAACACTTTGACTGCAGATCTGACAAAATGCAAAGAAGATTTCTAATATGAGACTTCTAAACATCTTAATCTACAGCATTCAACCTCAGGTTTAAGAATCTGAAGTACCTTCCACAATATGACAAGGAGGTGACATGGAATATGCTGTCAGCACTCTTAAAAGTTCAATACTTTGATGCGGAATGTATAGAACCCGAATCACCAAAAAAGAAAATCAGCTTTCTGTTGATGGCATTATGAAAATGAACATGGGTCAGTATGCCCTGCTTGGAATCATTACTGAGCAGAACCCATCACCAGCATGGAAGCATGCTCCCTGGAATGATTGACAAACCATGAAGGGGCTCACAAACATTTAGTGTATCTGGAACGTAAATACTTTGCAGTGCTGGCTACAATAGAGCTATACAAACACCTGTTCTCACTTCCAGATGATATTGTAAATGAGAAGCAGTTTACCAAACAAGAGGTAAGACTGAGTACATTTGTAGCCTCTAAAATTTTAAATTATTTTCTTTTTGACTGGAGTTATGTAAAAAAATAAATCTACATTTGTAAATTGCACTTTCACTTATATGAGGGGAATTGAAAATTACTATTTCTTTTATTTTTTACAGTGCAAATATTTATCATCAGAAATAATAAAGAGCACAGTACACTTTGTATTCTGTGCTGTAACTGAAATCTGTATATTTGAAAATGAAAAAAATAAAAAATATGTACAATACATTTTAATTTGTATCCTATTATTGGTTAATACTGCAATTAATCTCATTTTTTAACTCTGGTTAATCACAGTTCATTTTTTTAATTGTTTGACAGGCCTAATTTAGAGCAATTCATTCTTACAGGAATTGCCTTCCTCATTTCAATGTAATGCAAGCCTGTAGGAATGGATTAAATTGATCTTTTCAGAACATTTAAAAGTGAGGCACTTACTCTAAGTCTACCCACACACACTAAGCTGTGTAAGTGCAACATCTTCTATTAACTACATGCAACAGATTTTGTGTGTAGGATAAAAAGTGATGTAACATTGCTGTAACAAATTAAAATTTACACTTTTATATCAACATCCCTATGAACCATAGTCTACAAATGTTCATTAAGCATCAATATATTAGAAAAGGTAAAGACACAAACATTTTACAGAAGTGGAGATTTGAGGCTTAAAGGTTTAATTACTTTCCCAAGGTCACCCAAGAAATTTATGGAAGAGTTAGGAATGCAACACCAATTTTTAAAATCAATAGCTACATTATAGAAAAACCTATATTTCCAGATATCATGTTAAGCCTTTTAGGCAAGAAAACTAATGTTGTCATTTTAAATACAAGGGATAATTACATATAATGAAGCCAATCAGTGTCAGTGTGTCTGAGATAAAAAATTGATCACACTTAGGTTATCTTAAACACTGATATAATAGGGATCAACATGCAAATTAAATGAATTTTCACATTAAGTTACAAGTTTAAATGCACATACTTTTTTCAGATTCTGTAACATTTTATTATTGAACATTCTATTTTCTTAGACTAGGTTTTTTAAATAGTCTGTGAAGGAATGAAATATCTCCTCCCTGCTAGTGATCACACATTATTAGGTCATATGCCAAATCACTACCTTTCCATCAGTAATGTAAAAAAAAACAGACTTCACTGAACTCTGAGCAATTGCTCTGAGCAAGTATTTTCTAAGAGTCTCTATCTATATCACAATAATAGCAGGAAAGGGAATATAGAAAAATATCCCAGTACATTTATTTTTGGTAAGTCTTCTCTCTTCCCTCACCTTAAGCTTCCTCCCTTGAAACAAAAACTAGTCAGTAGTCCTTAAAAAGCCAGACCTAATTTCATGTAATGTTGTGACAGATGTGTACCAGATTCTGAACAGGGCATAAGCTTGACCTAGAGGAAGAAGCCTTGTGCTTTGCCCTGCATCAGAGAGAAAGGGAATTGGAGGAGGAAGTATGCACTTCTCTCTGAGTCAGAAAAAAACATCTGAAGAGTTAAACAGCTACTCTCTGAATTTCTGTCTCCTAGGCCATGTGTTTTCCCTTGATATTAATGAAGAATTTAGGAATAACTGAACCATTTTATTTCTGAGCAGTGTTATAGTGAAAAAACAAGGTTGTTGGGGGGGGGGGGTTCAAAAAAGTTGTGAGGCTTGACCTGATACTGGAGCTACAACCACCTGGTTTTAAGTTAAGAAGAATAAAACATTGCACCATAATTTGTCACTATGCAGAGGCAGTTGGGCTTACAAACACAGCAGGGGTTTCCCACCACATTGCTGCATCTTATCCTGAAAACTATGCACTACTGAGATAGACGAGTGGAAAGGTTGTTTTTCTCCCTCCCCTACTCCGAAGCCACCACTGCTGCTTACAAACACCGAGGAACGTGAGTATATTGAAACATTCCTAAAAGGGCCCAAAGTGGCATTAATCAGATGAATGGAAACTTTCAGAGAGACACATTCCCACCACATTGCTGCATCTTATCCTGAAAACTATGCACTACTGAGATAGACGAGTGGAAAGGTTGTTTTTCTCCCTCCCCTACTCCGAAGCCACCACTGCTGCTTACAAACACCGAGGAACGTGAGTATATTGAAACATTCCTAAAAGGGCCCAAAGTGGCATTAATCAGATGAATGGAAACTTTCAGAGAGACACATCCAGCGACAGCCTCCCAGCTACGCACCAGGTTCCTGCTG